CAAATGAATGCCCAACTTACTGAACTTCCTAAGAGAGGGTCAGAAGTGCTCAGAGCAGAATGCTAGCATCTTTCCACAAGCATATGAAGATGGTGTAGGGGGGACTCCCAAGAACAAATCCCAAGCATGTTTCTAGGACCACAGCAGGTCACTGGTGGATATAAGGTTAAAGTCCTTGCTGTTGGAGGAAATAGGTTCTCCTGATGAAGCTGCGAAAAGGGAAAGCTAAATCCAAAGAAATGAAACAGAAGTTGTATTTTGGTCAAAAGAAGAACAAAGGAAAAACAAAAAACAAGACTTTAACTCATGAGGCTTTGAATTTTTCTCTCCAACATCCTGGAACACTTGGAATTAAGGACGATATACCGGATGATGATTCTGTCACCCTAACTAATATGGAAGGTGTGCAAGAAATGTCCCAGCGCTTAGATCCCTACCTTCCAGGGTCTTTTAGAGTGTGGTCACTTTGGGACTGGAATACAGCCACAGCTTTGGGGTACAGAAGAACCGGCTTCAAAGACCAACACTGCCCATTTGGGTGCCTGCTTTTTTGAAGCAAATGAGCCTCAACTTCCTCATCTATAAGTGGGTAATATCTGCCTGGCAAGACTGTTGGAAGGACGAACAGTGAAGGTGAATCCACATAAAATAGTTAGCAGTGGGCCTGCCACAAGCTCCACAGATCCGAACTGTTTATTACAATGTGTGCTCTGTCAATTACACATCCTTCCTAAAATCTTCCACTGAGTTATATCATGTGGAAATTAGCATCTATATTTGACAGATATAGACACTGGGGCTTCAACAAGGTTATACTCCAGATGCAAAGCCACCAAGCCAGTTGGTGCAGATTACCAACCGCATCTCCCAGCCTGGGTCACTGAAGGGAGTCCCCTCTCCTCATGCTACGGGTGTCCCTGACTCCTATGGGAAGTCCTCAGGAAAGAGGAGAGCTGTTAAGCTCTGTCTAGCTGAGAGCCTTTCCAAAACCTGTCACTGTTGGAACATTCTATGCTCACGTGCTGTACTTGAACTTGCTTCTAGAGATTCCGGCTTGTGTTTTCTATTGTTTTGACTGAGTGACCTAGAAGGGAACTACATGAAGCTTATGTTACTTCAGCACTTGCCTGGCTAAGTCTAACATTGCAACAATGCTAGTATTGTGGTAAGGAGGGAGTTGCCTTTACTGAGTCCATCTGCAATGCAGGTCCATCCAAAGGACGATTCTGAGGCTCTGGAATATGTTCTGAATGCTCTTCTCGGCCTCCACTTCTCACCAAATGTGGCTCTTACACCTTACATAAATTTATTCACCATAAACCCACCTCCATATAGCATTTCAGTGGCCATCCTAATTTCACATGGAAGAGAGGGGACGTAGCCCCTGGTTAGAAAGAGTCCATCCATCCTTGAGCCAGTGAAGGGGTATCCTCATGGGTCCCCTCCTACCATCCTACCACTCAAGGGACCATGTTGCCTGGACATCTATAATGGCTCTCTCCGATCTGGAGGATTGGTGTCAAGTTTGAAACTTGGAATAAAGCTCTAGAGGATGCCACACATAGACACCTTCACCCCAAAGTAGCAGAACACGCAGAAATACACTTAGCCTAGTAAAACACTAGCTGTGATATGTAAGGAAAGCTATCATTATCCTAAAGAGTGTGCTTTTTACAAAAACCAATGAAAAAGAAAATCATTTGGGATCCAGTATAAGCTGTCTTTGCCTAAGGCTGTCAAACAATGAGCTGAACAAAATTAATTGGTCTGGGGAAAAAAAAAAAAAAAGCACATAATGATGTAACACCCAGTTTCCCCCCAGCCTCCAAGTTTGGAGGAAGAATCATGAGAAACAAAGCCAAACAAAATCCTTGTTATCCTGAAATGCTATGTCCTGTCCCTAAATCAAGGGTCAACATTTTTTTTTTCCTTTTTGGTACGGGCCAGATAGAACATAGTTTAAGCTTTGTGGGACATCCAGTCTCTGTCACAACCACTCTACTCTGCTGTCTGAGCGCAAAAGCAGTCACAGACAAAATGTAAACAAATGGATGTGGCTCTAGTCCAACAGAACTGTATTTACGGACACTGAAATTTAAATTTCATATAATTTTCACATGTTACAAAATATTATTCTTTGTTTGATTTTTTTCCAACCATTCTTTGCCTGTGGGCTGTATAAAAACAGGCCAGGAGCTAGATTTGGCCCAGAGACTAATTTGCCGATCCCTGCTCTAAGTCAGCACATATTTTCAGGTGATTCCCAAGCGGGCATCTCTACCAACTCAAGGATCAGCTCAACAGAGCCTCCCTCCTTGCTCCCAATATAGGACCTGAGTCCCAGGGGCCACTCCATCCACACTTCTTCAATGAGTGGCTTGCCTCATTAAAAAAAGGAGGGGGCATCTGGCTGGCTCAGTCAGTAGAGCATGAGACTCTTAATCTCAGAGTGATGAGTTCAAGGCCCACGTTGCAGGTAGAGTACTTAAAAAAAAAAAAAAATCCAGAAGACTAGATTGTAGAGTCAGACCACTCATCTACTGCTTACCAAATGCCATCCTCATCCTTGCCCCCATCCCAAGTTACTGATCACATATTTCAGATTCATAGATATAAGTAAATTCTCCAAGTTCACGGCACTGAAACAGTAAGCGAGGTTTCTACTTCTCTACCTCAAGTTTGGCTTTTGCTAACTCCCTCTTTTCAAACCAATAGGAATTCCACAGAGTAATAAAGTTAACACTCTGATCCAATAGGGATCAGAGAGTGTTTCTACCATCTATCAAGTGATTAAAGCTCAGTACTGATAACTTCATGCATTCATTTCTGGAAAGTAACAGCTCCAGGCATAAATAAAGGTAGGAATGATGGAGAAGTACAGTGTGAAGCAAGCTCTTAGGAATTTAAAATTTGTGTAGGTCTTCCCATCACAGTGTCAGCATAACACAGCACCATGAGCTGAATTTCAGTCCTTCCCCTTCCTTTCTGTCCTTTCCAATTTCTAAGACTTAGAAACACTTACTTGATAAGTCACCCATTCAAAGAAGTGATTTCACCTCTTTCCAATAAAGTACACAAAGGGCATCCAGCTTTTTGGGTGAGGATGACAAGCTTGAGAAATTCAAATTGCACATTGTAGCTTTGAAATCATCCCCATGTCATAAAATCCAGAGTTTTATTCTGGAGCATTCCAAGAGGCAGAAGGTTACCTTTAGGAACAGTTCTGTGGCTGTATGTAAAGTCATACCTGATCAGGACAAGGGAGCTCTTTCTAGGGTAATGAATTTGAGTTTGCACACCCCAAACTGTGGGCTGTTGCTCAAGTCCTGGCAGTGAGGGGGATGGAGGGAAAACAGTTAGCACAGTTTTCAAGACTACCCACCCACACAAAAATCCAACAATACACAAAGAACTGGCCATCTCAGTGGCCAGAGACAAAGATACTCATTTTCAAAGCTGAAGAGACCAAACTCCAAAGCAAAGCCTCACTTTCTAAGTGTAGCCTAATTTGAACGGTTGCAGTCTCTTGCAAGTATTTCTGAAGTTTCCACAAGCATCTAGATAATCTTTGGTTTTATGACAGAGACCCCAGAAATCACCGCAACTTTTCATGAGGAAGGCGAGGGAAAACCCTACCTCTCTGCCCTGTAAAAACAAGCTAGCTTCTAAAAATTATTACATGTTTCAAATGTTAAAATAAGATGACCAATTGTCCCGGCTTGCCCAAGACTGAGGGGGCTCCTGTATGCAGGACTTTGGGTTTTAAAACTGTGATAGTCTGAACAAACTGGAAGGTACTGGTCACCCTAGGAAACCTCTTCTCATCCAAGTCTTTGGATTTTAAATGCAACACATCAGTCAAAACACTTAGCATGAGGAAGGACACAAGCCCCACACCAAAGAAAGAACAAGATTCCTAGCGGTTCTATTGAGAGCGACTATTGAGAAGCTCAAAAACCACTAGTAACAGAAACGTTACAGATTATCTGAGTCAGAAAGGAGAGAGGGTCATTCATATGTGCTATTTTTAGCTAATCCATCATGTCTAGAGCCCAAATAAATAAGATGTGGGGGAAAGTTACAAAGATGCTGATGAACTCATACCACCCTGAACCCGAAACCTCTGAAAACAACAGTGCTCCTTTCAGAGGCATTCATGAGCCCCAGCAAGTTTTGGGGACAAACACTTCCCAGACTAGGGCCATCCCCTGCTATCACGGCCGGCCGAGTGCCATACCACTTTGAAGAAGGGAGGTCAATGTAACACTCTGTGATATAAATACAATGAAACCTGGACCCATTCATTCCCAACCAAATGTCACCAGCAATCATCTAGAGAGCTGCTTGCCACCTGTTTGACTTTCAGGAGGAAAGTGACTGCCAACCAAGGTCATTCAACACCCAATCTTTAAAAATCTACACTGTGTTAAACAAAGATTCGGGTCAGTCCCCTGCCCCTTTTTCTTTCTCCAGCTTGAGCTCCTAGGGCTCACCAGCGGTTTTCAGAGCAATGAATCTCTGAGCTGTCTAACAGCCTAAATCACTATGAAGATGGCTTCCTCAGTCCAGCGAGTGACTTGCCTGTTTTAGAAAGACTTACAGCGGTAACTGAAACCAAAAGGAGGTTATATAGGTCCGTGACTATTGTGACTGCCCAAAAACTTTTAACATCCCACTGTTAACTATATGAAAAGATGCAAATATTTTGTCACAGCTTAGCCAGGTCTGACCCAGTCACTTGGCAGCTACACAATAAATAGGAATGCTCCAGAATTATCATTCCAGTAGCTATTGATTTTCATATGGGTAGAAGATAATAATAAATTAGAAACTACACCAAGATATCAGAGGCATTTCTCCTGGAAGGCATTGAGTATTCCATCAAAGAAATTGATAATTCCAAAATAAGTAAGAAGCACACAGACCTTTAACAGTTGGAGGGAGAATGGCAAAGATGAATAAACAAACAAACAAAGAAACTATAAAACAGCGCTCCCTACCTTCTTTTTGGAGTGGCTTCTTTCCTCCTCCTTTGTGGCTTTGCTATTTTTCCCAGCACGGGACACCTTCTGGTCACCAGATTGCTTAATGGTGATCTTGATCTCAGGTGGGCATATATAGTTCTCCAGATTCTTTGGGGGTTTCTTAGCCCGCTTGGTGGTCTGAATCTTCAGCTTCAGACTGCCCTCTGTAAAGTTTGCCTCCTTGATAGAAAATTCCTGTTCTTCCAGGCCATCTCCTGCAACCCATTTCTCGCTGTCTGCATTTGAGTTGGAATCCACATCCCGCCCTGAGCCCAGTTCATCCTCTTCCTCTGGCTCCATGCGTTCTCCGCCCACTGGGATCCCCTTCCCAGTTCCTGGAGCAGAGAGCAAAGGTTCTCCTGCACAGCCAGGGGCAGTTGGGGGCTTGGCCGAGGAGACAGGCAGGAATTCCGACTCGTCCCCCCTTTGCCGGGAGCTGCTTAAGATTTCCCTGGACTCCATGACAATCCTACAGTCTTCAGGAGTTCTCAGGAGGTGGGAGGGAAGAGAGGAAAGGGGAAAGATAAGAAGAGAGGACACCCAAAATCCCAAGGACAAAGTGGTCCAGCTGCTGGGTTCAGAGTCCCAGGGATGGAGACACGGCCACGTGTTCAGAAGAGGTCAGATCTGCAACTGAGAAGCAGAGAGATAATTAGTCATGGCAGGAAGGAAAATGACCTCAAAAAGAACTCAGTCTAAGTTCCAGAAGCCCCTTCCCTCTAATCTATGGCCATCAGGGGGAAAAAAAAATGCATATCCCCAAATTGGATTCTATTGGCAGTGAGGGAGGCAGACACGCACACACGCACACACGCGCGCACACACACACACACAGCCCTTCATTGAATTGTTAATTTTTATGGCTGTGGGCCCAAGAATAAAGATAAGAGAAGCCAGTCCTCCAGTCCAATAACAGGCTAGAAGTTTTTTATACTGAAGCCACAGTGAGCTGAGTCACCATCAAACCAACCATGACGAAAGGGAAGTCTGAAGTGTTGAGGCAGGTCTGTGGGACGGGGCTGGGCTGACTTCTCGCACCACTTCCCTCTTACAGGTGAAGAACAGTTTGCAAACTGAACACTACCCCCCCCACCTCCCCCGCCCCTGAGATGCCAGGGCGAAGCCCTCCATCATCTTGGAGGAAGCACACTTAGCTAACCTCCTGACCATTCTTTCTTTATCATTTTCATGCTAAATTATTTCAATTACACAAAATTATCTTTATTTCTTAAAACAAACGAAGAGCTTAGATGCAGGCTTGAAAGAAAAACATAAGGACTTCAGTGGAGAATCAGTTCGAATGCTGTGATTAATGCAAAACAATCGCTAAAAATGTTTCTGTCTACACAAAAGATATTTAATCATGATCAATTATTTAGATAAAAATAGCCATTCAAGACAGTTTTAATTCCCTTTCTGGTCCTTAAACGAAGTAGCATTCTGTCTTCGTGGCAACAAAAAAGAGAAAAGAGAGAGAGGAAGGCAGCATTTCACAGGCCTTTGGAAATGTCAGGAATGGTTCTCCCCACCTCTCCACCTCTCCAACCCGGACGCTTTGATTCTCCTTCCTCCCAGAGGAAACTAGAAACATCAGTAGGGTCAGACCATCACAGGACCAGCTAAACTATCCCTCACCCTTATTCACCACATGTCCCATTAGTCCCAATTTCAGACTCATCATCTTCAAAGCCCCAAAGGAAGCTCAACGCTCATCCTCAAGAGAAAACTGAGAGCCCTGGGGCCACACAAAACTCCAATACTCTGTCTCCTTCCACCCCTAGGCTATAGGCGAGATCACACTCGAGCCTTCTTAAGTGACTCAAAACGCTGAGGTTTCCCAGCAGAAGACATTACCACCGCACACCTTCGGTTTCTACCTTGGAGCCCAGCAACGTATAAGGTATTAACCAACACCTGTGCTGACCAGAAAATGCCCAACAACAATTGCAAAGGCACACTCAGAACAGCTGAAAACAAAGCCTGGAGACTGGGCATGCATTTTCTCCCTCTGGAATCAGGACATTTTCAGCCGACATCCTGTGAGGAAGCTAGCCAGCAAGGTGGCCAGGGTTTCAGCCGTGAACCTGCTCCCCAGAGGAACCCAGGCGCGTATTCGGCTCCTGGAAACTGCTCGGCCCTGCAGAAAGACACATTCACAACTGCTTCCTCTTAGGGGAAAACCCAGTGAACACAGCATTTCTAGAAGAGAAGAGGCTGACAGAGTGAGAGTAAGAGCGTCTTCCCTGAATCTTCCACACAAAGACTGAACAGCCACCTGTGCCCCAGGCTATAAAAGGGACCAAGTCCCCACTTAGGGGCAGGGAAGGGCAGTGAGACCCAATGACCACTGAAGATTCTTTTACTTATAAGATTATTTGTCTCATCTAGACTTGTCTGCCTACCACCCCAAAACTTTATATAATTTTTCAAAAGTCGGATTCAAGTCAACATTCATTTTGGCATCAAACACCATACTAGCTGTTGGAGGAGACATCCGGATGCCTTAGAATGTGTTCCTATTTGTCAAGCAGCAATCGTCCAGCAGATCTTTCTCAGCTTGTACCCCAAATCCGTCCGAACTGCAAACCATGCTTTATGGTAGTACCTGGTGGTTTACTTCCCCTGGCAGGAATCTTCAACATTACCTTTTAATTCCCAGGTATGTACGATGAAACTATCCTTGTGTCAGAGAAAAAGTGAGGCAAGTTCTCCACTAAAAGTTCCTAAATGAAATCCATTTGGAACTTTGAATGACTACTGCAGGATCTGTGATGAAAAAGAGGTGATGAAATCTAACTGCAGGGGAATGGAGAGCAGTGTGTAATGGGCATATTATGAAGACAGTATCTTCCATTCAAAAAAAGATTCCCTTCAGAATTCCTTAGGTTTGAAGGTAGAAATCGTTAACTAACTGATGTAGAAGACCACACCCCAAAACTTCAAGCTCAAGTCATAAAAGGTTTGCCAAACATGAAAATCCAACAATCTGTTTTTCAGTTCTCCTCTAGTCAAGATCCTAAGATAACAAGGAAAATACAGTCTCTTTCCTCAGGGAGCTTCTATTCTTGAAGAGGGATCTGGAAAATGACTGAAACAGAGCAGATATTTACATGAGCGATAGTAAAGGAGAGAAACAAAGGAAAGAGAAAAATGTTTCCTCCTTGGGCAAAGTAGAGATAAATCGACAGGAAAGCACAGGGAAAGGCGTCAAGGAGAGCACAGAATCTGGCTTTGACCTTCAAGGGCTTCAGCAACAGGTAGAGTGGGAAGAAGGAAGACACAAGGGACAGCATGAGGCAAGGCCTGGGGCAGGAGCTTGCAGGGTGACGCTCAGGAAAGGGCATCTTGCTGATTTTCAGCCAAGAGGTGCTGTACCAAATAGGGACCGGTGGAAGGTAAAGCTGGAGATAAAGGGTACAGCCAAATCAGGGACACCCTTGCCTGCTATGTTAATGAGTTGGATTTTATCTTACAGGTAATGGCAAGCCATTTAAGGGATGTCAGTAGGAAAGGGGCACTATCAAAGCTGCGCTTTAGGAAGATAATTCCAGCATGTAGTTTAAGGGATGAATTAATGGAACCTGATAGTAGAGGCAGGGGGACCAGGAGGAGGCACATCAGAAATTCAATTCTTGCTGCACAGGGACTTGAACCAGGGCAGTCTGACTATGACATGATAAATACCAGAGATCAAACAGTAATGCACTTTCAATCATCCCAGGGTTCAGGAGCACATCACTTCCAGTCTCTGCACACTGGTCTCACCTTAAGAATCCAGTCTTAGGGCTCATTGGCCACCAACTCGCATTCCCTGTTCAAATCAAACCAGTCCCCACAGTGGCATTACACACACACAGAAGTCTTCCTCCTCGGTATTTTTACAGGATCTTTTCCTATATCCCCTTCTACCTACCCACGCAATGACTGGCATACAGTTGGTCCTCTCCCAATGTCTGTCACAAGAAGGAATGAACAAACAAACAAACAAACAGATCCGAAACCTTCCCATATTTCGAGGTCAATGCCCAAGTCTTCACTTCTCCATGGCAACATTTTATAAACTCTGGACCTCTGCCTCCACGCCCTGGCCTGTCTTACACTGCACCCGGCTGCATAGCTTGCCACTAAATCTTAGTCTTGCATTGTCTTCTAGCTGTTTTGAGTACACAAATTGTATTTCCCTTCCTCGACTGCAATTCAGTCTTAGGCTGGGACGAAATGTGGTTTACAACTCTTACATTCGCTTCAGCACCCAGTGCAGGACGGGGCCCCTGAAGGACTTCAAGTTCTCTCTGAAAGAAAATGAATTAGCTCCCTGACAGCTAGTCCAAGTCTTGTGGTCCTAAGGACTCCCACTGTAGCTCTGCCCGCTCAAGCACCCTCTGCAAAATTCACGTGGTCCACGCTGATGATTACAATCTAGCCCCCCAATGTCCACACGCACCCCTCACCTTAAAAAAAATAAAAAGAAGCTTTCAAAAGTGAAGAGCAAAGAAACCCAACCTGTCTGTTTACTTCACCAGCACACAGAGCTGTTGTTCTTCCTTTGCCTTCTTCCCAGCACATACCTGACACCCCAAATTCACAGTTCGCTTTTTTTGGTGAGTCTGGGAGACAATTGAGAGTTCTCCTGCGGTGCACCCCTGCCAACATGTGAGCGTGAGCACAAGCACCCACTTGCACACTCACAGAGGAGGGAAGCCAATGCAAGGTGAACACCTTTCGCCTTGTCACATTCCAGCAGTCAGTGACTCCTTGGAAGGGGGCGGAGGGGGCGGGTGCACAATGGACACTCTGTACTTGGCTCCGGCTCCCAGTCCAACTAAAGTTAACCCTTCCGTGGCTGCCTGCAGGACCTGGTGGCAGGGGATAGGAGGAATCAGACTTGCTAAGGAAATAACTGCCCAGCAGGTCCCATGGAAACAGAAGGGCGAGAACCAGGGTGGTGAGTTAGAAAAGAACATGGTGGGGAGGAGTCCGGGTACTTGCCCTCTGCTCCTGCCTGGCTCTGCCACCCACAGTGACTGTTACACAGGCCACTTGGAGTCCCTTACTCCGTACTTATCTCAGCAATGAATGGAGCAAGGGCTCTTCCAGACTCAAGCCTCTAACTTTACCCTACACAGCCACGGACCTATGGGGGCACTCCAAATTAGACGGTATGAACCTTCAGAATTATTTCTCTGAGGGATCAGGGGAATCCTGCTTGGCTAGACGTGTCTCAGAACCTGAATGAGTCCCAGGGAATACATTCTTTCTTCATGCTGGCAATCCCCGTGTCTAGCACAGTGCCTAGCACATACTGGACACTCAAGAAATGCTGGTTGACCATCATCCACCTCTCCCATCTGCTCTGCTCCCAGGGCACTACCCACACGCAGGCCATCCATCAGCACGACTGCTGCCTTCCAAAGAGACAATATGGTGGAACCGGCAGAGCGCGTGGCGTATTTAACAGAACTCAAAACATGTGGATTCTGGACCTAATCCTGTCAAGTAGGAGCCTTCATAAGCACTCTCTTGGCCGCTATGTCTCATCAACAAGATGGAACAAATGTCTTCCAGATCTACCTTATTAGGTTATAGCTTTTATCTTTCTTTTTTTAATAGAACCACATGTTCCTTATAAAAATAAAAATAACTCTTGTACCCCATACAGTCTTAGAGGCAAACAATCACAAATATGGGAAGAGTCCTCCCCGTCATTCCTGACCTTCCCCGCTCCCCCAGAACGCTTCCCCTGAAGCCCCACTGCAGTCAGTTCAGTGCTCTGCGAATCCCCATAAGGTACTTCTTCCGTCTTTATCTGCAAAAGCATAATCCTTGGGCTAGGACCTCTCTCCCTCAAAACTCTGAAGATGGTCTTCTAACATTTGAAGTAACAGAGAAGAAAATGGAGGCCGGCCTGGTCTATTTCCTTTGTAGGCACCTTGTTTTATGCTGTTATAGTCGAAGATTTTCCCTCCATTACATTAGAATTTTATTAATGACAAAATGAGTATAGCATGGATCTCGTTCCTTTTATTTTTCCCACAATATGATGAGCCTTTTGGATTTACAGAGGCAGGTTCTTCCTAGTTTGGGAATATCCTCTTCGATCATTCCTTTAGATATTTCTTCTATCCAATGCCTTAGGCTTCTTTCTCAATTTTTCCCCAGAACCCTCACTTTAGACTTCCATCTTTGTCCTCTGTTGCCCTCATTTTCTCTCTCATGTTTCCATTTCTTGATTTTGCACTATGGGAGTGAGCACAAACCCTAAAACTACCCTCCATAATAGCAACGGAATTCGATTTCCCGTGGATGTCTCAGTCTGCTATTACACAGTTTGTATCCTGGCCTTCTTTCTCTACCTCATTCATGCTCCTTCCAGCTGACTCTGATGCCTTTTCGTCCCAGCGTCCTCCCTCTGTTACTTTGTGCTCCTAGCCCAGCAGGGCCACGTTTCTTCCTGTGCAGATATCTGGCATCTTCCTAAAATTCTTATTTTGCGGTTGTAATAATTGATGTTCATGATACTGTTCCTTTTACCTTACTTGGGTATTTTTCGCTCTAAGGCCTCATATTGGTTCTTTCTCTTTGCTCATGTTCTCAATGAGGAGAGTGTCCTACAGAGTAATCTTGACCTACAGAGAAAGCACTGGGCTGCTTTGGACTCTACGTTCCATCCATCTGGAAGGCACTCAAATCCTCCTTCTCTAGGGCTATGGCTGTTATCAGTGACCCATCATCTCAGATTCTCACCAACAGTAACAGCAGTGGGCCAGAGCCAGCCCCTGAGAGCCTGTCCTGTATCTCTCTTCCCAACTCCACATGCAATGGGGTCGGGCTGGTAGCTTGAAAACCTGCTGTGGTAGGAGCGTTTACACCACAGGAATCAGCAAACTCCACAAATCGCAGCTTAAAAACAAACCTGGAGATCAAGGCATTAAGCATATACTAGAACACCACTGACAGTAGACATCTACCTGTGACTATTTTGCTGGACTCTGAGGGCTTCTTCTTCTTCTTCAGATGCTCTGAAACGCTAAAGAGCTGAAATGCCTACTAGGCCCTGTGACAAGGCTCTTTATATCTCCCTTAGAGCTGGACTTGAGCCATCTATGCCCAGAAGTCAATGCCTTGCTTCCACTCCTCCCAAACCTCCCTCCTTCCACCTCATCCATTTGTTTCCTGAAAGCTGTAGACTTTGATACTATGTATAACAATGGTAGGAGGGATGCTGCCTTATTCAAGTCGCCCATGCAGGAGACCTGATGACTGCTGATTTTTCTAGTTAACAGAAATTAGGCATTTCTAATCTTAGAAGGCAAATGGTATAAAAGGATGGGGTGTAATTCTACCTCACCACAGATAGGGAAGCTAATGTGTTTCAACCTAGGCTCACTGGCCTAAAGCTGTAAGAGTCCCTTCTCAGATACTTTCAGGAGATTGGCAGTCTGACTTTGGTTTTGGGGATAGATGAGTGTTCATCTTTCTTTATGTCACCTAAGGTATTTAGGTGGGGAGTCAGAAGTGGCCCTTCTCATTTGACGGATTTGGCATGAGCCTTGGAACCTCCTCCTGTCCCCTTGAGTTAAGGTCTTCATTACTCAGACCCAGGTCAAACGGCACTTCCCTGAGCTTCACAACTGTATCAGGAGTCCCTATTTTGTGCCTTTAAAGCATAGAGCTTTTCCTCACTGGCATTTATTATATTTTATAAACACGCATGATGCTCTTGGTTGTAACTCTGTACACTGTCTCCTGCTGCACTAGATGGTAAACCCCTGAGGGTAAGAGTTGTATCTGCTTGGCTCACCGTGGAATCCCCAGAGCCTAGCACAGCCCCTGATCCATGGAGCAACACTCCAAATTATTCACTGAGTAAATGCTGAATGAGAGACTGTGTCAGAGGCCACCAAAAGCGATTTGACTAAGGTACCCATGACTCTGAGTGATGCATCCTTGAAATCCTTCCTGCTGCAGAAATGCCCAGAGTAAATGCTCCATAAACACTGATAAATTGATCAAGTGACCCAACCCTTACTCAGCTCTCAGTCAATGAGGGCAAGGGCAGCTCTGCACCATGGCTCTCGAACCCTACAAACACACCAGTGGCCCACAGCAAAGAATGAAGGTCAGATTCAGTGGCTTCTTTCTACCATGTACCTGGGTGGTAGCTTCCTGACCACAGATGGCCTCCTCCAAGCAGTGTTGCCTGAGTGCTGCACCCCCCCCACATTCCCCAACGGTCCCTGCTGAGCTATGGCTCCCCCAAAGTCCCCTGATTTGAGTTGCTTCATGGGATTCCCTACTAATTCCTCTGGCTGCCCTTTTTCCTATCTCTACATTGTCACCTCTAAGTTATCCTCAGGATTTGGGTCAACTTTCACATCCTTCATGAAGGCTGGCTAGACTTTCCTTTTCCATTCTTTTCCCATTGTGTGTACACAAGCATGTGTGCACACACACACACTCTCTCACACTCACAGATGGTCTTGATCTCACTTCCCTGGGCATTCTGCTATCCAAGCGTTTGGCAAACTGTACTACAATGTTCCCTTTACTTATTTATCTCTCCCACCAGACCAGAAACTCCACAATGGTAGGGGCTGGGTTTCACATGGATCTCTGATACACTTCAGAGCACAAGGAGAACACAAAGTAAGGATCCGACAGCCAGTGTCCAAGCCACATTTCCCCTTGAGAAGAAGAATGGAAGGAACACCGATCTGATGTCACGTTTCGATTACTTAGCCTCTCTTTCCCACTTACTAACTGCTCCTAGAAAACAGGTTTACACTATTCAAGTCTCATTTGGAAATTGGGTTATAAACCTACCTCAAGGGTTGTTTTGAGAAGTAATTGGAGATTAAATAAGATATTTATGAAAGAACATGCTGGGATCACCTTGGTGGACGCTCAAATTTTTTGGTAAATGTGATTCCCTCCCCAGTCTGTGTCATCTAAGCTAGTATTTGGCTAATTGCTGCCTCTCTTCACAGATCCCAAGAAAAGCCTGAGGGACAGGGGTTGGAGGCCAACCTCCCCAATCTCCCTATACAATGGGAAGCACATACAAATAGTTTAATTTGCACCTGCTAACTTGAGTGTTTGATGTTGTTTGAATATTGCTTTTTTCTTCTTCCCAGTTTGTCTTATGGAGGAAAATGACTGAGTTTAGTACAAATTACAGGCTCAATTCCCGACTCTGCCAACTGGAGTTAGTGGCCTTGGGCACGTTCCTTTTTCTCCCTAGGTCTCCCCAACCCCATCTGTAGAATGAAGGGATGTAATTAGGTAAATTCTGCGACCCCCTCCAGCTCTGACATTCCCGGGTGCTAAGCCTTATCTCCACAACTTGACAACCAGAGTCCTCCAAAGGCTGGGCTGGTAACTTCCACCTCCTTAAAGATCATGCCGGGTCTGTGGCTTCCATCTGGCTGAGCCGAATGCAGCACGAAGGAGTAGTCCCGGTGTTCAGGGATCCCCACGACAGGGAGACAAACAGAATCAGACTCCTGAGGCTTAAAGCTGCACACTATGCCTTAACCAACAGTTTCAGCTCTAGCTTCAAAAACAGTGCCTCCTCTGGGAACCAATAACACAACACAACAGCATGAGCCTTGGGGCCCCTGGGGGAAGGTCTCTAAAGCGCTGGCCAGGCCAGTCTCCAAGTTAGTAGGGCAAGCTCTACCTCTCGCATATCACCTGGTGCCTGTGACCTCCATGCAGTCAAGGAAAGCCCACACTCGCCGGGAGTGAGGGCGTAACCAATGACCTCAACAGGCATGATGAGTTTAATCAAAACAGCAGCCCTGCTATACAGAAGACCTGTCCTCATTTTACAGATGTAGAAATAATAGTCCAGAGA